AGTTAAAGACTTAAGCGAACACGCCAGAAGATCTGCTGTCCCCAAAAGCTTATAAAACATTGACCAGTTTACATGGATTTAACTTAATTGGTGTTAAGAAAAAAAAATAGTTAAATAACTCAGTAAATTTGTTATATTTGTTGGTTGTACTATATTCATTTTATAGCATTGTTGATCGTACGCACACTAAATTATTGATTAATTAATATGAAGTAGTTTTCAATTCAAGTTGACTACTAACTAGTTTGTTTTTTTTTATAAAACATGTATGTATCTATGTATCCAGGTAATTTTTTAATTATTTTTAAATATCAAGCAAATTATTATCTATCTAATTTGTCTTCTACTTCTGTATCGAACCATATATCCATTTTCTAGTCTACTTATCATAAAAAACAAGGTCATGAGAACAGACCACTTCAGCCATGATTTATTATATATCTCAATCTTATTTAAAAGTGCTAGTATGATGGATACTACTTACAATGTCGGTTCTAAGCAGTATACAGTGGAGTGAAGCCCAGAAGTTATTACTGGAGAGAAGTGTCGGATCAGAATGCATGGTGCGATCAGTGTTTTGAAGATCAGAAGTTATTTTAAAGAAGACACTCAGTAATCTCCTTCTTGCTTTATATTCTGGGACCACCGAGTAAGCATTGATACTTCATCAGTTGAGGTGGTTGGGACATATGTCACGTAAACACAACCACCGACTGCCTCGACGAGCAATATTTTGTGGTTTAGGAGTAGGTTGGAAGAAAGCTAGGGGCAGCCAAACCAAAACATGGCACGAATCCATGAAGTCACTGACAAGTGGACTGAGTCATATTGGTAAGTGTAGACTACCTGCTTGGGGTCTGCGAGAAGATAGTAACCGATGGTTGGAGACCTTGAACAACTTGGCTCAGAATCGTTTGCAATGACACAGATACATCCATTCTTTGTGTTCTCTCAGATTGTAATCTAAAATTCCTCATCACCTCCAGCATCCTATCTTTAAAGTTTATCTCACCAGATTATGCTTCTTGAATAATATCTTCGGACCCTAATCTTCTTCATTACCACTAATACTTCTACTACCTCTATTACTATAGGATTTGAATTGACAATTATATCTCTGTGTGCTAATGTGGTATGGCAACTTGAACTGATGTATGTACATAGGAAATTCTACGTTGTAGCTGACTGACTCCTTGATTTGCGAAAGTAATTCTAAAGATCAGGTGTACATATTTTGCTCATAAACTATTTCTTCTCTAAATATATCATTATTCCATCTGCCGTTGACGCCTTCGTTCATTGTACTAATGCTACTGTCTAGACAGACAATGGAAAATTTCCATTTAAATCAACCAGCTTAGAGAACGCGCCTCAGCTAAAATCATAATTAAAAGCATTTACTAACATAAAACCGATTTAATAACTAAGTTAATTAGATTTCAGCTTATGATTGAAATGGTTTTGAATAGATTATTGATTCCTCCTAATTATTACTGAGTTTCAAAGTAGTTTAACTGTTTGCATTGAATACGTGGATAAAATATCAAAGAAAAGGGATTGGACCATTCAACAAAAAGCTTGATAAATTGAGATGAAATCGATAACGTTTAGCAGTAACTTGGAATGAACAAACACTGGATTTACAGCCTTGTCTTGTTCACCGTCAATATTTCTAAAATCACTGTACAATGATTAATCGTACACAGCGAATATTCAAGAACACATGCAAACCAATCGGCTAAAATCTTTGCACAATCCAAAACTGAGACTTGCACAAGCAACTTGCTAAAATAAAGCCATTTGGGGGGGGGGGGGGGAGAGCGAAGGATAGTTGAGGCACATGGTGTCATGATATCGAACTGGAATTGTTTATGATAAACATTTGCAAAGCAAGAAATGTACAGGGAGAAAGGAATTATAAAGTTCATACTCAGCGGACCATTAAGTATTCAAATATTTTAATCAAGTTCTGCTTTCCTATTTACATTTACATAATCGTCATGAGATAAAAGTAGGGCGTTGACTCTATCTAAAGATATCGAAATAAAATTTATATTCTAGTGATATGATATATAGCGTTGGATAGCAGGACTCAACTGACCAGAATCGATATACATGATTCATGACCGGGTATAGATTGCAACCACAACTAAAGACAATAACCAGTAAATTGGTTGAACAGTGAACAGATGGATTACTGTGGAAGTGTATCAAATAAATTAATCAATGAGTGTTAAGTAGCCAATATCACTTCTGTTAAAACGTTGAGAACTATCGGTCATTTTACTAATAAAGCATTTAGAATTAAAATGAAATCATATCTCCAACCTTGTAAATACCTAAAGTAAGAGAAATTTACAAATTTTATGTATTTAGGATGTATTCCAATTTTCGAAAATGAAAAAAATCGTCAGTTAGAGAGATAGCTACAACGCAGAACTTCGTACGTAAGTACATCAGTTCAAGTTACCATAGCATATCAGCACACAGATGCAACTGTCAGTTCAAATCAATGAGTGATAACGATATTAGAAGTATATTAGCAGTAATGGAGAAGATTAGGGAGCGAAGAAATGATTCGAGAAGTATAATTCAGTGAGATAAATTTAGAAGGTGAAGGACAGAGATTATGAGTTCACGTGCATAAACCTATTTTTGATATAGCTTAGAATAGCTTTAAAGAAGCGTAATTCAATCTCAAAATTAATCCAATATACCTACAAGTTAACTGAAATTTCCTACAATCGAATAATCCAACCAATAAGTTTAAACCATGGACGCCTACTACTTTTACTCCATCTGACAATGGCGTGACTTGACCCTGTTAACTATCAATCAGAGAGTTATTTTATCACTACCTTCCATAGAAATTTAACCACTATCCGAAATCCAATGGACTTATTATCATGCAATCCATTCACATTAACCTTTGAATACGTGTAGTACATATTTTTTTTGTGTACACTAATAAATCTATTTTATTATTATTAAATGACTGTATATACCAGTTACACTAAATCCCATATATATTTTATAAATTAGGTTTGAATCTACTTTGAGGATTGTTTTGCACAAATTCTTATGAACTCAGTCAATATTACAAATCATTGAAATTTTTTATAATACTATTTATTTATTCATTTCCTAAATTCATTTTAAAGATTTTACTCAACAATCAATCCTATGAACTAACAGTTTAATTTGAAAAATACGTGACAATTCTTTCTATAAAACTCATCCTCTATCTATCTATCACATTATTATTATTATTATTATTTACTGACAAAACAACATTATATTTCTGTGGCTGTTTGTGCATACGAACGAAACCAAAGCAGTTTAAATGCAAAATTAAAAAAGAACACTGTATTATTTATTATTTCAATCAATTCAACTACTGGTCTTCAGGAAAAATGAATGCACAAAAATAAATAAAATTAATTAATTAATTAATTAATTAAATTCGTGCACATCAGCTATTTTGTTTTGTTTTATTGATTAAAAAAACAACACACTTCTACAGTGAAAAAATTAAACAAAAAAATACAAGTTGATATTGAAGAAGTGTATTTATCCCACCCCTCTCCGAAAAAAAAAATAAATAATTGGTTATGATACTCTCTAGTAGTAGTAGTAGTAGTAGTAGTAATGTGTTCATTTTTTTGATTTCGACGAACCAATGATGATGTCAATGATTGTTGCATTACTACTGTTTACATACACAAGTCATATATATATGTGTGCATATAAAGTGGACTGTTCTCTGAACAGAACCGATACATGAATGATCGGATGATCAATACAGAAGTGTTGTAATGACACATTGACAATTGTCTCTTATCACGACCATCATGACTAATGTGCACATGTGTAAGCAAATGGTTGGTTTCACACTAATAACACACAAAAAAAACACATTCATTCTGGGCATTATTGCTTCACTAATCTCTTCTCTCTTATTATCAATCATGAGAGGATAGTCGGTATATAGATCAGCTTATTAATTAAGGCAAAAATGTGTGTGTGTGTATGCGCGTGTGTGTGTGTGTGTGTGTGCAAAATACAATAAAGACTACATTTCTATTCTCTCATTATTCTCTACATACAATCAAAGTTGGGTTGTACAGGAAAAATGATACGATTGATCATCAACATCATATGAATAAACTATGATGAGAGAAGTCCCAAATTAAAATTGTTTGCTTTTTTTTGCACAAAAAAATTCTTGATGAATAAAACTATTGAGCATGTGTAAATATGTATGTATATGTATATATGTATACATAATAATCCCAGGGTTGTGTGTATTCAATCCATCCATGTGATATGAAGTCACAAAACACACAAAACACACCAAACACACACACACACAAGCACTAAAAAAAATAACAGTTTTTAATTTTTTGTGTAAAAAACACAAAAGCAAACAACAATACATATATATCAAGCTGATAATCTGATGATAAACAAACAAACATACATACATACATAAAAAAATAGCCTGCAAACTGTAGTAGCACAGAAAAAATAATAAAACACCTCTGTTGATTATGTTTACACACTAAATGAACACATGCATCCATCGTATAAACATGCATGCATGCATGTGTGTATTGTACGCATTGGTTACTGAATACAACGTAACTACTACTACTACTACTACTACTACTACATATAAGGGTTGGATGATGTAATTAATGTGTGCGTCACAAAGTAACCAATGCAAAAGAGACAAGAAATAAAGTATTTGACAGTATTTTTCTTTTTTTTTCTCTCTCTCTCTCAAAAAAAAATGTGGTCGTCGAAAAAATAAAAAGAAGAAAAAAACAATGAGGAGAAGATTCATGATTATCTCAGAATAGAGAAAAGAAAGTCTTCGTCATGAAGAAGAAGAACAAGAAGAAAATAAAAAACACGCACACACACACACACATTGATTTCATTGTAATATGAAAGAAGAAAAACACAATTACAAATCTCTCTTTACATGGTTCTGTACACACACACACACACACACACACACACATTCTTGATTGGATGGATCAATGATCCTAACACTACATGAAGAAGAAGTAAAGTAAAAAAACAAAACAACCACATTGTAGTACGAATGCATAGATGTAGATGATGATGTTGATGTTGATATTGATGATGTGTTTGCTGAGAACAAGTAGGAATAGTTAGTCATTTAGAAAAGAAAAAACAAAAAACAACAACTGAATAATAAGAGATGGTAGGTGGTAGTAGTTGATTTTAAAGTTGATTATCACAACTACCTTTACTTAATCGATATTGAGCAATTTCCATAATACCATTCAAATGTACTAAGGCAGCTAATACAACAAATACATGAAATATTTGATGACTTTGAAACTGAAAAAGACAAACAGAAAAAAAAAGAAAAAAAGAATGTAAAAGGCAAACATTGATTGAAAGAAGGAAATTTTCATGAATAATACTTACTTACTTACTTACTTACGCCTGTTACTCCCAATGAAGCATAGGCCGCCCACCAGTTTTCTCCAACCAACTCTGTCCTGGGCTTCCCTCTCCAGTTCTGTCCAATCTTTGTTCATTCCTCTCATATCTTTCTCTATTTCTCGACGTAATGTATTCTTTGGTCTTCCTCTCTTCCTTCGACCATGAGGTTTCGATGTGAGGGCTTGTTTCGTGACGCAGTTAGTTGCTTTTCGTAATGTGTGTCCTATCCACTTCCACCACTTCTTCCTCATTTCCTCCTCCACTGGAATCTGGTTTGTTCTCTCCCACAGTTCGTTGTTGCTGATGGTGTCTGGCCAACGAATACGAAGTATTTTGCGTAGACAGCTGTTAATAAACACTTGTATCCTCTGGATGATGGCTTTCGTAGTTCTCCAAGTATCCACTCCATAAAGTAGAACTGTCTTGACATTTGTATTGAAAATCCTTATTTTGGTTTTGGTTGAAAGTTGTTTGGAGTTCCAGATATTTTTCAACTGTAGAAATGCAGCCCTTGCTTTGCCAATCCGTGCCCTCACATCTGCATCGGATCCACCTTGATTGTCGATGATGCTGCCAAGATATGTAAAGGTGTTAACGTCCTCCAAGGCATCTCCATCAAGAGTGATTTGTTTGGTGCATGTTGTGTTGCATCGGAGAATTTTGCTTTTTCCTTTATGTATGTTGAGACCTACTGCTGCAGAGGCTGCTGCTACACTGGTCGTCTTCTCTTGCATTTGTTGTTGAGTGTGCGATAGAAGAGCCAGGTCATCTGCGAAGTCCAGACCGTCCAGCTGCATCCTAACTGTCCAATTGATACCTTCCTTCCCTACAGATTTTGGCGTTTTCATAATCCAGTCGATCACCAGGAGAAAGATAAAGGGTGAGAGTAAGCAACCTTGCTTCACACCGGTCTTCACCTCGAAAGAGTCGGTTAGCTGTCCTCCGTGCACGATTTTGCAGTTGAATCCATCATAAGAGTTCCGTATGATGTTAACTATTTTCTCAGGCACCCCGTAGTGTCGAAGAAGCCTCCACAGTGTTTTCCTGTCGAGGCTTCTAGAATATAATTAAGTAAACTGAAACATGGTTTATATGATAGTGTGTTAGCCTAAGTGAATTGAAAGGTTTGAATATAGTTTTCAATCCATAGTTACTTGTATCATTAAGTGATTCTTCTCAGAATATCTGGAAAGGAAACTTAGCGGTAGTTTTGAAGACCGAAGGATTAACTGCACTCACTGTTCAAGGGACAATTGATTGAAGGTAGTCACATATGGATTTTTTCTATATAGTTCTGGATGCGTCAGCTCCATACGTTAAAGGCCTTACAATCAAGTGGCAGGAACCTATAGGGTAAGGTGAGATGTATTGCCTTTAAGTCCAACCTTTTTTAACCCGCCCCCGCCACTGTTTTGGCAAGGCAGAATGTTCGCAGATACTAGTTGTTTGAATAAAACATCATACTGCCACCGAAAATCTACACAGTCAGTATGTAAGACCTTGCCTTTAGATCACTAGCTCATTGCTTTTCTTCATTTCACTATCTAAACAACCCATCTGACATTCCAGGACCTAAAGGAACAAATATTTCAGCCAATATCTTGGATCATCAGAATAAACAAGTCTGAACAACTTCCCAAAGTATTAGCTACAACTGAATATGAGATATTACTCTAAATAAGAAATCAGCAAAAAGCCTGACAGCTACTGGCTAAAATTTCATGCTTTAGAGTTTCAGTATTACAGATTCATTTAGAATAAACGCTTTCTTGAGAAAATCCACCAACTAAGTCTGAACTAATAGCCCTTGTTTTTCATCTACACATTCATATTTATGAGCTACATATTAGAGTCAATAGTCTGTCGGGAAATTAAAGATCTATTTCGAAGGAATGTGGCTGAATAACTCAATAATCTCAGCAAAATCTAATCAAAACATTATACTGTTTCATTTTACTTATCGTTTACTCTAACGAAAATGAAGTGATTGATATATTTGAATATGAAAACTGTTAAGAATGAAATAAATGTAAACTTCATATACTCCTTTATATTATAAGGATTAATTTAGAGCTAGCTAAACCAAATACATTATATGACAACACAATACATTTTGTAATAGTAATTTCTCTGAAATCATTAAAAACTAAGCTTTGCGAAATAAATACAGTATGCAATAAAATGCGAATTCGCATCCTCTGAAACAGTTTATTAAACGAATGACGGATGGTGTGGACATGCAAACACGCTACATCATAACTAGGCTAAGTCATACTCTTTTCATTCAGTCTTAGAATACCCGACAGCAAAGTTTTCTACTGTAAAGGTGCTCGTTTAGAATACGTAATATGTGTTAATACAAATCGTTAAACAATTGTTAGGTAACTAACTATGTAAATGAGTTTACTAAAGTAGTCTACCTAAATCCTTGATCTTGGTAACCGTATGACTAAAACCTCCCCCACAAGACTATGATAGAAAACAGATGCTGATATATTACTGCTAATATTTAGACTGTCAAAATAAAATATATTGAGACTGCAACAGTACGTACCAAAAAAATTGAAAAAAAAGAAACTGAACTTTGACTATATAAGTTATAGTTTTATTGCTAATTAGTAAAATTAATACTGAGGATTCCGATATGGGGTTTTGCAGTGAACTAAAATCAACTGTTAAAAACCAATAAAAAGCAGGAAAATACTTTTCTGTAATTTCAAAAAACTACCCTCGAAGCAGTGCATATTTACAACCACGCATGGGACTAAATCCAAGATATTTAAACTTTCTCATAGAGAACAAGATAACTTTAAACTATTGAGTTTTGAAGTTCAATAGTTTATATCAAACTTTAAATACGGTCCAATCATTAGATTATGGTGAAAATCCACCTGCGAGTTTAACAGACCTCTTCTCTATAAATCACTAATTTACATAATACTAGAAACAATGGAATAGTGTTAATTTGATGATTCGTAAGTCAGTTTATGAACTACAGATGAAATAATTTATGTTGCTTTGTATTGGGATAGTATCGCAGCCAGTAAATAGATGAGGCTAAAAAACGAACAATATATATGAACTAGGTGTAAAAAATGTGTAGTGATCTAAAGCTGTCATTGTAACAAATAGTACGAAATAATTAATATATACAGAATCAGTTTTTGTTTCCTTCATATCAGTCAGTCAGTCAGATGCAACGTAGAATTTCGTACGTAAGTACATCAGTTCATGTTGCCATACCACACATCAGCACAGAGATGTAATTGTCAATTCAAATCCAATAGTAGAAGAGGTAGTAAAGGTGATGAGAAGTAATTGGAGAGGTTAGGATTAGAAGATATTATTCAAAAAGTATGATTCAGGAGATAAGTTTACAAAGCAAAATTAGAGTGTTTAAAGAACACAGAAGATTTAGGTTGAGAGAACACAAAGAATGAACGCACCGGCGCCATTGCAACGGTTTTGAGTCATGTATCATTCAGGGTAT